TGTGCGGTACAAGGATGACCTCTCTCAAGCAATTGTACCTGTGAACCATATTAAGGACTTTAAGCCGACTGGGCCGAGTGATTTTGTCTACAGCGCAAATTACTACGTGAGATGGACGAACGGGGACGAGGAGAGCGGTGAAGAGGAATATTACAAAGCCAGAATCTTGCTTCTGGGAGGTAACTGAACTTTTTTTTTTTTTACTTTTAGTGATATAATTCGACTTTTGGGAGACCACGGGACATTTCTAGTTATATTATTCCCAAAGTATTCCTCCCAAGTGCAGAGCTATTTTTTTATTATTATTCTTGCAGTCTCCGAGGAAGACGTCGGGGTAAAGATGTCAAAGAACAGAATAAGAATTAAAAAGATATGGGCTTCCGAGTCCTCTGAGGATGAAGTGCCTGAAAGGAGGCAGCAGAGTGCGAAGCAAGAAAAGGTAAGGCTGGTTTTGATGTAATTATATGTATTAAACACCTGGCAACAAACAGCTAGTCCTAAAGATTTCTTATTGTTCCGATTTGCTGGCGCAGAAACGTATGAAGGAAAGGCAGGACACTGCTGGAAGGTCTGGCCTACTAAAGCTTTTAGAAGCAAAGAAGAAGAAAATGACAAGTGCCAACACTAACCTTCACATGAACGAGCAGCCCTGCAGGCTCGACCAAGCGGAGCTAGAAGAGCGGCATGCTCGAGACCGCCGGTCTATTAGGGATTTGTAGATAAAACTCTCCGAAAAGCAGGAAGAATGCAATAAATTGAGAAGACTGAACAAAGAATTCGTTAATAACCATCTGGGTATAGAGACTGGGGAGATAGAACGTGCACATCGCGTCGGCCAAAAGCGCGGGGTAACTGCTCGACCGATTGTAGTGCGCTTCTTAGGCTACAGGAATAGACAAAACGTGCTGAATAACGCCAGTAAACTGAAGCATTTAACTTCATTGAAGGTGTCTATCTCGGAGGACTTTACTGCTAGGGTTTGCCTCCACCGGAGCAAATTGTGGCACTTTAGTAAGCAGTTCAGAGAAAAAAACATTAAAGTGAAACTCGTGAACGACAAACTTTATGCTGATGGCAAGCAATATTCATACTGTTCCGACAGTGACGAGATTATTTTGCTTAACAACTTCCAAACCACAAATTTGGCGACTACTTGACAACCTGATAAAACATCTAGACATGAGTGTGTTGATCTCGGAGTGCTCGTGGCGAATTTTCGTAGTTTTTTACCTAAACAAGATATTTTTTTGTCAACTGTGAATGACACGGACGCAAAAATTGTTATCGGGACAGAAACGTGGCTATATCCGGAGATAAACGATGGCGAATTATTTTTTAATCAATCATTTCATCTATTTCGAAAAGACCGCACACATTCCCGTGGTGGCGGCATTCTTATCGCTATCAGCAAAATGATGGATGCTTCCCTTATATCTTTAGATAGTGAACTAGAAATTTTGTGGGTACGCTTGAGTCACCCTTCGTTGCCCATCATTGTTGGCGCCTGCTATCGCCCTCCAGGCCGAGATAGTACTTTTGTTACGAAGCTGCACGCTTGCATGGAGCAAATTTTTTCTTTATTTCCCAGTAGTACTGTTATTTTTGGCGGCGATTTTAATTACCCCGGGGTCAACTGGAAAGAGGAAGAAATAAACTCTTGGGTGGCCCATTCAGAAGTGTCCAGTTTTGTTGACTTGATGAATAGCTACGGTTTAACTCAAACTGTATTGGAACCCACAAGAAATAATTCTGTTTTGGATCTTGTTTTTACCTCGAGTGCAGAAAATGTAAAATCGGTTCGTATTCTTGAGAAAATCAGCGACCATAACACAGTCCTAGTAGAAATGTCTCTGCCAGTAATAGGTAAAAAAATAACCCCTAAAACCATAAACGTCTACAGTAGAGTTAATGAAAACGCTCTAAACGAGTCCTTTGAGCTGTTTGCTTCGGAATACGAGCTGCATTTTAGCGAAAGAACAGTCGAGCGCAACTGGGAAATGCTCAAAAATGAATTTAGGCGTATAAAGTCTGATTTTGTACCTCAGATGGTTTTAAGGACGAGTGCTGATCAACCATGGTTTACAAATATCCTTAGGAAAATAAATAACAAAAAGAAACGTCTTTATGTCAAAGCAAAAATTACAAACCTTGCGTCTGACTTCACTAAGTATAATGACTGCTGTAAAGAGTTTAAAAGTAACATCAAGAAGGCAAAGGATAAATATTACAAGCAAGACCTACTTAACTTATTAATAAACAATCCCCAAAAATTTTGGAAAAGTATATGTCCGAGAAAAGATGATTCGCTTCCTAAATTGTGCAACGAAGACAACGAAGTGCTAACGAACCTTGAATCAGCTACCGTCTTTAATAACTACTTTGCATCCGTATTTACCTTAGAACAATTACCTGTACCCAGTGATCAAATATGTAAACCAATTAACGTCTACTGTGAACCTATCACTTTTAACCCCTATGGCATTTTGAGTGCGATAGAAAGGCTCTCCCGAAGTTCAGGTACTCGTGATGACGAAATCTGTCCTAAACTTCTCAAATTAACAAAGAACATATCCTGTCGCCTTTTGTGTCGCTTGTTCCAACAATCGCTCGACTTAACTTCCCTTCCCGCAGACTGGAGATTCGGGAGAGTTTTACCCATTTTTAAGACCGGCAATAAAAACGACTCATCAAATTATAGACCCATATCACTAACTAGTGTGCCTTGCAAGATTATGGAACATGTCATCTACTCCCACATTATGAACTATATGTCAGAACATCAATTAATATGTAATAGTCAGCATGGCTTCAGGAAGGGATATTCATGCGAATCCCAACTTTTTGAGTTCGTTACTGATCTACATAACAACTTCCACTCGTCTCACCCTACTGACGCCATCTTCATTGATTTCTCAAAAGCATTCGACACGGTTCCTCACCAACGTCTCCTATATAAACTTTCAAAACTAAACATTCACCCTTCTATTATCCACTGGATCGCTCAATTCTTAAGTAACCGTAACCAGGCTGTCCACCTGGGGCAGGACAAATCACCTAGCCTTCCCGTAATATCAGGTGTTCCGCAGGGCAGCGTTTTGGGTCCGCTTTTATTTCTTATCTATATTAATGACCTTCCTCTCCATATAACATCTTCCATAAGGCTTTTCGCAGATGATTGTGTTATTTATCGTCGTATTACTAAACCTGAAGAGTCTTTAATATTGCAGCAGGATTTAAATATGTTTTCACTATGGTGTAACACATGGCAGATGAAAGTTAATGTCACCAAGAGTAAACTATTAACATTCACTGGCCAACGAACGCCTGCAATACGAAATTATACATTACAAACTCTGCCTCTCGAAAAAGTGTCCAGCTACAAATATTTAGGTGTAACATTTTCAGACGACCTAACCTGGAATACCCACATTAACACTGTAGTTTCTAGTGCTTGTAAATCTCTAGGATATATCAAACGTAACCTTCACAGTACCCCGCATTGTGTTAAACTAACAGCCTATAAATCCTTTGTGAGGGCTAAATTGGACTATGCCAACTTTATTTGGTGGCCGCATCAAGCTTACCTTATTAACAAACTTGAATCAGTTCAGAATAAAGCATCTCGCTTAATTCATATCTCATGACTACTCACGGACATCAAGCGTAACCGCACTTAAAACAAATCTAGACCTTTGCCCACTGGCCGAAAGAACTAAACTTGCTCGTCTTGTCATGTTCCACAAAATCTACTATTCCTCTTCGTCATTCCGAAACCATTACTGCCAACCTCCATCTCACATCTCCTTACGTCGTGACCACAGCCAGAAAATAAACCCTCTATTTGCGAGAACTAATAAATTTCAAAATTCCCCGCTCTCTCTAGCCATCAATAACTGGAATTCTCTTCCTGAGGCTATTGCTCTCGAAAATAATCCAGCTAAATTCCGCGATCTTTGCAAGGCACACCTCAAAAGTGTTTTTCGTTAGTCTAAATGTTTATGTCGGTAGCTAGTCATTAGCTTTTTTTTTTTTTTTTTTTTACCATGATTTGCATCCTGATGCGATTTAACCCTAGCCATTTTTCGGCAAATATTACTATTTGTATTTGTTTGTGAATCTACTTTTGCTTTTGTTTGTTTTTATGTGAGTTTGTATTCTTATCCCCCCTCATGTAATGCACTTCGGTAGAAGTGCCTTTGAGGTATAATAAAATGAAATAAAATGAAATGAAATGAAGCTTCAGGATAGACTACTGAAGGAAATGGAAGTTAAGATATATGAATAATGTATAACCACAATAAATATTCTGATTTCAGGGTTGTAGATTGGGGAATAGCTAGTGCTATATTGTAGAATACCGCGCATTCCCAAATTTGTAAGATCTGAGGAAATACACGCAGTACATTTATATGTAAAATCGATGACCGGACAAGCGCCCATCCTCCATTCTCGCGATTATTTCTAAATTTTGAGTGGGCGCTTGCCTAGTATTTTATGGCAGGTATATAGACCAACTCGCTGTTTACAAACAAGCCCGCGTTTGCCCACACCAGGTGTGGGCACTGCGCATGCGCAGAAACCGAATTCGAGTGAACAGAAGCGTCTGGGCATGCGCAGTGCCGTCGACAGCGCCACCGCAGCTGCGTGACGTCGGGGACGCGTGTTGGTCTATAGTTAAGGCAGCGATGTAGATAAATTATCCAGAGCGTGCTTTTGCTGTACGTGAACATTTGATAACTAGTCTCAGCTTTTCTTGTCCCACGCTTTTGGAGACACTAGGATTTTTTTTGTGAGTTTATATCAATCAATAATCGTCTGACTGTGCCTTTACCTATTTGGATGGTACCTATTGTCGGTTGTTGCAGGCAAGGAAAAAAAGATGGACTCAAGTCCTGTGTTCTCCGCATCAACATCAAGGCAGGCCTTGTGCACTGGTAATAAGCACGTTGAATACATACAAAATATTATAGTAATATAATTTGTTGATATTTGCAGGGACGGAAAGGTACCAGGAAAATGCAAGTCCTGTGGTCTCGGTATCTTTGCCGACACGGGCCATGTCCGGTGGCAAGTGAATTTGTTGTTTCTTTAATTTATTTATTTAGAGTTCTCCGAAACAGCTGAAGAGTCTAAAGACATGCATGAAAAGAAACAAATATGGGAAGTCATCCACAAAGTTGTGCATGATGCTGTTAATGTCATTACTTAGTATTGATTTTCCTGTACCTTATGGAGCAAGCCTTATTTTTTTTTGCACTTTTTATCCTAACATAATTTGTGTTTCATCACCGTAATTCAGAATGCAGACTGCTCTTAATGACATTGGTCATCATGTTTTAGACATTTCTTTTGATTTTGATGTGTTTGAAAGGAAAGTGAAGTGGTCCTGTATTTGAGGAAAAACATTTTAATAGTCTTCATTTGGCCCCTAGGATCACAAATATCTAGATTATTTTTCAATTTGGTGCACGGAGGCTGCAGAAATTAATTTTCTAAGTACTGCTGAGGCCCCTCCTTCTCGGGGCGTGACGTCATGTTGGGAGTTTTCGAAACCTCCGCTCTCACACATCTACACCGCATAACAAAGCTATACACTGCTTGCATAGGTCTTCCTATTTTCAAAAAGGTAAGAAAGAGATGTGGCAACTGGTGTCAGTGTAGGGGGAATATACCTTGCAAGCTTTCAATTGCACCCTCTGCCCACACGAGCGACACAAGCTTGGCGGCCCAAATATCCTAGTATTATGTCACGACTGGTCAGTCGTTTTTCATGTTTTCTTGCTTTAAGATACGTCTTTGGGAAAAACGAACATGATATCCAGATTCACGGAATAAAATATGCCAGAATTCACTTTCAACTAATTTGTTTCAAGAAGTGTTTCAGGAGACTCTATCTGCCTTTTCCCACAAGTCTGTTTAGTGTTCATATTGTTTCTTGTATTTTTGCACATGTTTGTATTAATGTTCGATTTTAACTCTTATTTTCACTTGAGAGAAATATCAGTGCACCACACAAGGTTTTATAGCTGTTCATGGTCACCATGAAAAAATTAAGTACTATTATTATTATTAAACATTTTAAAACGCATAAAACAAATAACATTGGTGTTAGTTGACTTGTCATAGATAAGCTGCATCCAAATCAAGAGAGTTTGACATTGTGAGGAAAGTGGGTAAAAAAGGATTGTGGACCTATTTTGTCACCAGGGAACATGAAATATAATATTGGGTAGCCAAGGGGAGTCAATAAGAGCAATGAGTATTTTTTATAGGATCACCATATAACCAACTAATCATCTTTCAGAGAGAGGCAAGCAACGAAGAGTATACACGTCTGCTAGTACAGCCTCTGGGCGTCGCCATCTTTGCTAGCTGGAGAGCGTGGGTTGTGCCATAATCTGATTACGATGCCTTGGTAAAGCGCCGTAATCGGATTATGGCGTGGCCCACGGCATAGCCCAGCTAGCAAGATGCATAAGCACTTGCAATCGTGCTTATGTGGTACAATTAATCTGGAGAAGTCAGTGTTATTTTTTACCTTATGGGGGCTGTTTGTCCAGTGCATCTGACCGTTAACCTGAGCTCTTTAAACGAATGCTGAACAGACATGTATATTTCGCAAAATAAAGCCGCAGAAGCGTTAAATGGGATGCTACAAACTTTAAAAAGTCACTTGTACACCAATATCTCAAACGGATGGCCATCTTTTTGGGAAGGAAGGACGCGATCAAGCGAGGTCTCTGACGTCACAATCCTCCTGGAGCTGTTGAGATTGAGGGGAAGCGGCCTCGCCCTTCTCCTCGCTTCGCTAGCTCAGGGGAACGAAGCGAAGAGGAGAAAGAATGAGAATAGTGACATCACATATCTCGTCAGCTGTGTTCAGTCGTGCCCTTCTTTTTCAGAAATACGGCCATCCGTAAGAGATACCACTGTAGGAGTGATGTGTATGGGAACTACAGCGACCTGCCTATCACTCCAGCCTTGTTTTGTGAGCTCCAAATTTAGTGCATCCAGTCATACTATAAAAACGATTTCACTCCCCCTCAAGAGCCCAAGGGAAGGAGTATTGGTGAGCCACAGCCTGTGGAAGACGCTGCAGCACCTGACCGCCAGGAAGGCTCCCAATCATGTGCAACTGGCACTGAAGACATGGTAAGGACACCTTGCTTTTGAGGTTTGAACAGTGCCCTTAGGAACATGTGTTCAGGAACTGTCCTAACAACCCTGGCTAATTAGCTCAATCTCTTTAGAGTCCTCATTGATTTCTTGTTTCTGTGTAATTGACAATGTACGTTAATTTATAACAAAACCTTCAAACTTACAAGCCACGGTCTTGGCTCGTCGTAGTATCTGAACTTTGTTTAGTAACATTAATTTAATTTCTTTTTAAAGGTAGACCTTGGCAGAGGCGTCTTCATCAAGTCCTCTGCATGGAGAGAGGTCAGCAAGGCTGCAAAAAGTTCCCTTTTTGTAAAGGAACTGGCTGCGGCCCTCTATGGGCAAAAGGAGCTCATGGAGAGATCGGCCAAGGGTAAGGTGTAGCCTTAAAGGGACCATGAAATGACCTTTTTACTTTTTGCAGATAACTTTTACATTAAACCGTCAATGTTCACTGAATGCCGAACAGGCATCCGTTTTCGTCTCGGTTTATTAACTTCTACACAAAAAATTAGTGAAATATCGACTTTTTCATTCTCTCCAACTGACCGCAAAACAAGCCGTGACGTGAACCGTTTCCGGAACCGGAAGTTCTCTCGGCAGTAGGAGAATGGGAGTGTTAGCGGAAACGAGTTGGGGTGCGCCGGTAGGTTTTACTGCGCTGATGTCACCGACGTATTTCCTGAATCGGCGCCTCTCATCGCCGCATCGCAGCTGAGCGAAATTCAATGAGATATGTTGCGCTACAGCGACAGCATGGGACTAGTCCCATACGCCGGTATGCTTGTTGAGAAGTGCAGCGAGTTTTCCGGTGAAGACTCCAGAAGTCAACCACCCTGTCATTGTTGGCAGAAGGGCCGGCCCGTGTCAGTCGTTTGCAAAGCGACGTAGATGGCGTTTTTCGCGGCCTCGGAGATGCAGGAGCGAGCCGACGTTAAAAAAGATACGTTTGAACTACGAGTGTCAGCAAGAGCCACGTAAATACCTGTTTACACTCGGAGCTGACGCGTGCGCTCGATGGAAGTGCTGTATTCGCGCTGTTTGTAAGCGCTTCGGGACCGTTCTTTTACGATTGCAACTCGATACTGACGCGACACTCGGCAAAGAAAGGTTAAAACCGGAACTGTTATAGCTCGACAGTGACGTGCAGTCTGTCAGAATAAAAATGGCATACCAATAACAAAGTGTACATACCGTGTTACGAAGGTAATCCATACGGCGTTTATTTCAGCTCTATATCACACAAAACAAGAAGATAGAATCGACGAGAGTCCCTTTTCGACGAGTGTTCGTCAACACTGCCTCGGAAAACAAGGGGAAGAGATTGACCTCACCTCTTAATCTAGAATTGAGGTCAGTGATCAAACTATAATACGGGAAGGGTCCACAAGGGTCGCGCGGGCATATTCCATTTAGCACGCCAGCCGGTCGTAGGCAGACGGTCTTGCGACGAAGCAACGCAGCGCCGAGTCGGAATGCCTGCTAGGCCTATACACTCCGTGCGACGCGACTGGCGCTCCGCCGCGCGGCCGGTACCGAAGGTAGGCAGTGAGAATCCCAGAGAAAACGAAACCGAAACCACGCCGCGTACGTTGGTACGCATTGAAGTCGCAGTGGTGCGGTTGCGCTGGGTTCACAGCATGAAGTGCTTGCTGCCTGTGCTGCGTCATTAAGTGCTTCAATATTTATGCGCCGTATCTCGTGGAGACAAAGTTTCACAGTTTTTCACCTCGCCGATGTTTTGTGGAAAAGCGACAACGATGGAGCCGTGCCGTACGACACGAGAAATTTGGTCTCCCGATCATGTCTGCCACTGTGTCGGCACGGCTGACATATTCTAGCTACACTGCCGCTTTGCGCCTTGCGTTTATTTTCGTACCAGTAACGCCTACATCTGTTAGCGCCGATGGGACGAACTGAAACGCCATCCCACACTCGCGGGTATGCAGTGCCAATCTCGTTGGAGGAATGCCCTCCAATGAAGTTTCGTCCCCATCGTACGTGTCGATGATTATTCCGGACAAGTATGGCACGCAATCTGTACTTTATGAAGAAAGATTCGAACGGTAAAAAAAGTGACAAATATAAATCTAAAGAAAACAACAATGAAACTCGGAATCACTGGAGAATCGACGTTTGAGTATGGAAGTTTATGTGGTGTGCTTTCTTTCTTGATCAGCCTCCTTTCGGATGTGGAAACGCTGACACCAAGAGTTCTGTAGACAACATTTTTTTTTCTCGGCTTTAGAGCCACCTATTGCAAAGTGGTTCGAACTGGAATTACCCCACTGGTCCCTACCTACCTGTAAAGTGTGCACCTCCCACGATGAGTGGTATTATCTGACAGCCTTTGACGGTCAAAGCCAGTTCCCATTTAGTTACGCCGCCCAAACTAAACTTACACCTGGTTTCGCTATGCCAACTCTTTTTGTTATAATAAGTGTTGTGCCAAGTGACGGTCATGTCAAAGTACCCGTGCGCCGAAAATCAGCACCTCGCACAACAGGTTATTACACAACAGCAGACCGCAATAGCCCTTGGCGGCCAAACCGTGTTTTGGCCGACAACTTTGTTTTCTCGGCTTTGGAACCACCTTTCGTAAAGTTGTTTCAATTGGAAGTACAGTCCACCCTAGTCCCTTCCTACCTCTAAAGTCTCCACCTCCCCCGACCAGTGGTATTCTCTTGACAGCCTTTTCATGGTCAAAACCGGTTCCCATTGAGTTACGCCGCTCAAACCAAATTTTCACCTGGTTTCCCTATGCCACCTTTTTTTTTTTTTGTATAATAAGTACTGTGTCATGTTACTGTCAAGACCAAGCACCTGTGTGCCCAAATCTGCGCTTTACACAGCCCGCTATAACACAACATTTTGGGTCGAATATTGGATATCCCGTACAGCTTTATTTCTTTATTCATTAGAAACCTAACTTTCACACCTGCTGTCTTAAAGAAACTTGGCACTCTTCGTGCACAAACTTAGTGAACATCTCACTCGCCTCCAAATATCATCGTTCCAGCAGTCCTAGGTTTACAGCGACGAGCGAAATAAATTTCCCACCCAGAGCAATCAGGTGGCGGCCGTCTTGTTTTTCGGAAAATTGCTCCAACTCCTTTTTCGGCCGCAACTAGAGAAATTACCCCTAATAACGACTCAAACTCAATATATAAGAAGTGGAGAACAGCTAGATGCCCTTCTTAGGTCTACCCCAGTACTCATGCAACGTCACCCTCGACTTATCGGCTCAAAAAGCAAAAGTTTCGTCCGTGCGCGCTTCCGTCGACACAGCTTGGCATGCGAAAAGGCGCCGCAGGCTGCTGAACGCGCCTCACAGTCGAACGCCAGCTCCTCCGCTAGCGGCGCTGCGCGCGTTTTTCAAAGCGCCCCCTATAGTTCCCGCACTCCTCGGAGTCGGTGGATCCAGCGTTCTTGTTCGTCATGGTCTGTTTTAAGTACTGTTTTCTTGCTGCTTGAAGTCGGCACGCGCGGGAAGAACACGTAGAAAAATAAACGTTCAGTCAGTCAGAGTTTTGAGAGGAAGGAAAACAAAGAAAATAAACGTTCGTCGCTGGCCGCCACCCAAGTAACTGTCGGCCCTGCCCTACTGCGCACGCGCAGTAGTTGCTTCGTTTACCACACGATAGATGGCGCCTGGCTCTCAGCATTATCAAATTTGGCAATTTTCGCCACACATCTCTAATTATGCCACAAAATGTGGATCTGAATATTATTTAACAAAACTTTTAGGAAACATTCGCCGGCTATTTGATGTTTACGATCGCGGTGCTGGTGAGGTAGGCTCTTACCCAATAGGCGACCTGGATTTAGCTGACGTGCTCCATTTCCGCGGATGCATCGTAGTGAACAGGCGAAGGAAGGAAGGCGCAAAAGAGTCCAGTTTTCTTTTAAAAGTTCTATAGCAAATAATTTTTTTTTGGCTCCCTATTTTTGTGTTTTTGTGTTTCTTTTGCAGTTTGTCCTGTTATGGCTTTAAAACAATGCATTTAAAGCAATTTTACATGGATACTGGACAGGTGGCTTTAGTAAAATATGTGACATAATAGCTGGTGGCACGCAATAAACCACAGGTGAAGAAAGTGCACAGCAGACGTTTTCGTAATGGAGATGTATTAAGTAAAAATAAGGGCATGAAGCACATCCCCATGGCTTGGTCATTCCAGATAGACGTTACCATGCATTCTGAGGGCATAGGAATTCAGCTCATTCGGTGCCTACATCTTGAGGAGTGTCAGTGGTACATTCAGTTGGTGGTTGATGATCTAAAGGAAAGCTTAGGCCTAAGAAGAACATTGAGTTTAGAACCTCTTTTCATAGTTTTCCAACTCCTGATTTCAAATACTGTAAACATCTTATTTTTTGCGGGCTCAATATTTCGCAATTTAGGTCAAAGCTAAATTTTTGGAATAATTCACAGGTTTTAATTTTTGCGACTTAGTGGGATCTCAATATAGGTTCCAATGTTTTTACATTTGACCGGAATTGTTCGCAAAACCTATTTTTTGCGAAAACTGGGTCCTTGCAAATGTTAAGTCGTTTATAGTATTGCACTGAGATGGGGCAGATATAAACATAACCAGCTGTTATTTCTCTAGAAATGGGAAGAAATGACGTAGGGGCGAGCATTATCCGACATCGCTGACAATATCACATTAGCTAGTTTTTCTGTTGTCCTTTCCTGCGCTTGGCACCAGTGGCAATCAGTACGTCGATCGACATTTTATCAAAAAGTCTTTCCATTGACACTGCAATGTTTGATATACAATTTGTATCGTCGAAACGATTTCGTGTTCCGTCGGCATGGCTTGCCACGTTTCATTGACAGCTTCTTTTTTTATTATTAGCAGTGCCTAACGACCTCGGCAATGGATGCAAGCTGTCTGTGCGCCTCTAGATATAGGCCTCATGGCTATTTTGTAGCTTAGATTGCCAAGAATCTTGGCGGCGTACGCTGGAGCTTGATATTATATTACTTTTTCCCAAGTGATAGCTAGGGGTGACTGCGCTTAGCGCAGCCTGTTTGAAGCATAGCTTGCCGCAGCCTACAAACAGCATTTCTCTAAACCTCCAGCGAGATAAATGAATCCAATAATAAAATCCACATAGTGAAAAATATTTTGTCGTCAAAACGTTGCTGTTCACAAAACAAGTTTCTATGAAACATAACAGTGTCGACAAAACGTGTTTTTTTGAAACATTGTCCTTGAAACATTTCAACAAATGCGCGTTGATGAAACAATAGACCTACTTGGCAGACTAAGAATTCAGAGCTCTGGTACAACTTTAAGATCCACATAATCGTCAATTACTTATAAAAAAATTTCCATACTCGGAAATTTGAAGTGCTCTGGATCCAAACAGTCTCCTGGGAGTCACAACTGCTTCAGCTTTTCTTTCAGCTTGCATTGTCGATGAGCATAAACTCTCCTGTGCATTAACTTTTTCTTAATTCATATTGTTTCAAGGCAAGCACTCACCCAGATTTCCGAATGAACCGAGGAAAAAGCCAATCTCTCCCGTGAAGCTTATGGTCATGCAAGGTAAGTGGCTGATGTAATCATTGGTCACCCATGTTGTTTCATATTTTATGGTATATGAAAGCACAAATGTAGTCCATAATTTTGAAACATTTTGGCACATTTGTATTTATATGTTAGTGTTGTTAATTTTAAAAAGTGAGTCAGCGATCGCCAGCCATACTTAAACAATTTAGCCTCATGCGTGAGTACCACTCGCTACAGGTAAATTGCATAGTGTAATTTCATGCTGTTCTTTCTTGTCATTCATTATATCCTTATATGGTCCCAGGCTCGTAGTAAAAATTTAAATTGTGTTCTAAGTGGCAAACGACCCATTGTATGCGACAGTCATTTGCCCTAGACTGCTACAAAAAGCGCCTCAAGGACATGGGCATGCCGGAGAACCTCGCGGCTGAAGCCTCGGGCAAAGACGTGACAGGTCTCATCACTGAGAAAATCGGGGACCTCAGGAAGCAGGCAAAGAGGTATTAAATAATATAGTAGTTTTTGTTTATCTAACATGTTCAAGCAATTCTAAATCTGCATGCATTTATAATTGCTTACTACGGCCTTAATTACTTTAGGGCAGAAGCTGCTGCTGCAGCCGCTGCAGCTAATGCTTCGAAGGAAGCAGCTCCCATGGAAGCAGACTGAGGGCGGAAAAAAGGTAGGAATAAATCAAACGTTTCCTCCAAATTTCTCTGAAAATTATGTTCCAACATATCGTAAAATACCGTGGAAGCATCTACTTCGTTCAAGTGCCCCACTATTAACATTTCCCAAACTTAGGAATTATGCAAATTATATGTTAAGCACCCGGTTTGACTGGACAAGCACCCATGTCTAGCTTAACCCAGTTTTTACTGGAAGAGGGGTGGGCACTCCCCCAATATTTTATGGTAGTTCTTGGCTCGATGATTTGTTGTAATCTTATTTATTGCAGGAAAAGAAGTTCACACCGAGAAAGGACTGCACTCTATATAAATAAACAGTGACTAACCTTGCCTTTTGGTGCTGTTTTAATAGGTTTCTCTTTGGTCCTTCCTTTTATGTTCCAAATAGAGTAAACCAACGAAGTCCAATTAGTAGTTCCAAACAGCTCCAATGGGATTCTATGATCGTGCAGTAGAGTAATTTCTTGGTGAAGGGACCATAATGATTTGATTTTGGAAAGGTAGTGAGAACTAACTGCAAAGCCACTAAAACCATCTGGCTCTCCGGTATTACCTAATTAGAACTAACCAGCCCATCGTGGTTTCCTAATGGGGTTCTAATGGGAACTCATTGCCTCCACAATGGGAACCAATTGACCCTGTCCAGTTGGAACCAATTGGCACACCAGCTGGAACTAATTGGCATGCCAGTTGGAGCCAATTGGTCCTGTAATGGGCACCAATTAGGTTTTTGGACACCAGCCAGTTGGTTCCAATTGGTGTGCCAGCTGGAACCAATTGGCACTCCAACTGGAACTGATTGGCACTCCAACTGGAACCGATTGGCGCTCCAACTGGAACCAATTGGTGCTCCAACTGGATCCAATTGGAACCAACTGGCCGGTGTCCAAAAACCCAATTGGTGCCCATTACAGGACTAATGGGTCCTGTAATGGTACCCATTGCAAGACCAATGCGTCCAATTGCAAAAATTTCCAATTGGAACCTAATGGGAATTTTAGACTGGGCTGCTATGGTATTGTACGTGCACGGACAAGGCGAGTGGTTTTCGGCGCCGCTGGGATGGCGGCCGCTTCGTGGGACGAACGTACCGTCCTTGTACTTTCGGACTTCGCTCCGATGGAACAAAATCTGATTACGCCGGCCACGACAGGACGATTGGCTCGGGACATGACTGCATCTCGACTGCCTCATAGTGAGCCAATGTATGCTTAGCATCATACTTCTTCAAGACTCAATCATCTATTCAACATGAGATTTTCTCACCAACTGGTTAGGAGCGACGTCGACAAGGTTCAACCAAGAAGGACGGCATGGTGGTCTTTAGGGAATCGTTGACGCCATCAAAAGAGACGGACGCTGGATATGAGGTGTTCTTGCCGACAGGCCAAACGGTCGTTCGAAAGTTTACCGTCATTCAAAAAGTCAATATTTTTATCTGGTGTAACACACATATCCGTGTTAAAGGGGCCACGAAATTATTTTTCAACTTCTTCCTTACCAGTAATCCTCAACTCAAAAGAGAACTGTGAAACCACGCAGTCGTGGCATGCTAGGGCACCGGTGCGATGACCCCAAGCTTTCACCGTGTTTTAAGCACACCGTAGAACTTGGCATTCGCAAGTGATGATAAGTTTTGTCAGGACAGTCATTGGCCAGGAAAGCGAATTCAAATATCCATGGACGAGCGCATACATCCGAGCGACGCAGTTTTCGTGTCCAATGCGTGAGTTGGGGTCGGCTGACGTCATTTTGGCCTTTGTAGGCATTGTAAAAAGGATATTTGGAAACAAGCACACCGACATTAAAAAGCACAAAACGGGCCCAGCTACAGAAAATAAGAATAGATACGTCTGTAACTTGTTAATTACAAAGACGAACACACCTCTGAGCATCTAAGTTTAATAGTATGTGTTGATGCATTGGACACTACATATACGTCACTTGAGCAAACGCCAGTTTTTCACTTGAAAAACAAACCGAAAAACACTGCGATCAAATGCAAGCTATTGCAACGAAAGCAAGTTATATCAAAATCTCCAGAACTGCTAATTCGTAAAATGGGCGATTAGTAAAAAAGGTTAAAGATCGCAGGAGCTTCCTCGCTAAAAAATGCTGTGATTATTCGGTGACCCAGGGCTGAGACAATTTCCCCTAGGCCCTACAAGCGCCGTATACCTTTCGTTATGATTCTCAGAAATTAAGACATTCAAAGGAAGCTAGATAAATGCGAAAATTTTATCCTAAAAGCTATGTGGAGCGCTTCGCGCTGCGCATATCGTAAAATCATTGATTAGTATGCTTGGAAGTTGTGTGAATATTTATACAGCGTGTAGTTGGTCAGCCATTTCAAAGTTGCGACGAGTCACTCGCTGTAGATGAGCAATTTAGCCAATGCAGTATAACCGCTAGCCTGGGGTCTACAGGTCTTTAACGTGCACCACGCAGTAGTGATACACAACCGCAGGCCGGGCGGTACGGTGCTCATCGAGATCGAAACGGGCAGGGGTGGGGATTGAACTCAGGTTCTCCGATTGATTAGTACAAAACGTAAACATCGCAGGAGCTTCCTCGCTAAAAGCTTGTGATCATGCGGTTACCTGTGGCAAAAACAAATTTTCCAAGGCCCAACATGCGACGCATAGATTTCGCATCGATTCTCAGACACTCCAACGTTCAAATAAAGCTAAGAGAATGCGAAAATTGCATGCTAAGTGTCTTGTCCATCCTCAAACACATCCGGAAACCCGAGCACCGTTAAGGCGATATACTGATGCTGTCGCACAGGTGCTAATATGCAGAGCGATCTTGCACAGAAAGGGTATAAAGTATCATTCTTTCAGATCTTCACGTTATACCTACGTCAGAAAGCACGAAGAAGCCCTAAATCGTCGGCAAGCTGCGGCACATCACGACTCCGCGCACTGAACAAACTCGCATCCACCAGCTCTGGGCGCTGCCATTTTACCGGTGACATCACGGCTCTTGAGAGGACACGTGACGAGTCGTCACTCGGTTGCTACGGAGACCGAGCCTGCTCAGCTCGTTGCTATGGTACCGCGTGTGACCAATCGCGGTGAGAGGCGGCACAGGGAAAAGCGTGGCGTTACTCTGGCAGCTACGCTGCCATATTCGCTAGAGTTCCTGTATATGCTACCGACGGTAGCAGAGTTGCGCATTCAGCCTCGGCACGTGGCCGTAAAGCCGGCTTTCCCGCACGCCCTGGATGCTTTGCTCCTCACGTGACTAAATTTGGCGAATAGCGGCGCCGCGCGCACCGCCGCGCATAGAAAACAGGAGAGGAGGAAAAGGAGGCGGAAAGCAGGGAAACATACGCCGGGGCAAGAGAAACGTCGGCGGAGCGACCGTAAAGGTGGCTTTCTTGCACGGCACCGGATGCTTTGCTCCTCGCGTGATGGATCTCGGCGAATAGCGGCGTGGCGGCGCGGGGAAAACAAATGCGTAACTCTGGCTCCCGTAGGGAGCCTATACAGCAACTCTATACCGTACAGTCGTTTGGCGGTTTTCCACGGGACCAACTGGCAACACTGGGTGGCGCCAAAAGAGGCATGTTTGTTTTCTGCAAGAATAGCGTGGCGCCGGGAGTCGTCCGTTCTTGCTGCATGATGTAGAATAGTTCACGCTACGCTTCCGTATTCGTGCGAATATGGGTCGCTGTTGCGTGCCAAATTATAAAGGAGGCTACGATAACGGGCCAGAGGTACGGCTATTCTCTTTTCCGAGCGACCCCATACGAAGAACGCAATGGTTGCCACACTACCGCTAGTCCGGTGGGTGTTGAGGGAAAGGGTAAAGATTGCAACGAAGAGAAGGAAAGGAGGCGGAGGAGGAAATGCGTGAACGGAGAGAGAGGGTATAAATAGAGGGAAAGGGAGGGACGACACCAGCGACCGGACGCCGCCAGCGTCCGGTCGCTGGTGTCGTCGTGGTACTGGCGGTACCAGCGCGCTACCCTCGCCGTCGACGACGCTTGTTCCGGTTGCGCTCGCGCCATCCGTTTAGATATTCTGCCTCCTGCTTTGAGGCGCTGGCGTCGTATGCGCGTTTTCTAATGTCGCCATAAAAACGTGCTTGCGCCGCGTATGCAGGAATTCGTTTAGATGACCCGTAATAAAATAAAACATGCTTCAATTGGTGCTTGCAAATAAACCCCAAGGTTTATTTGGAGGACTGCTTGAACTGGAGTGGGTGGCCCTAAAAAGGTCCGTTTGCTGAGCGTGTTCAGGCACACGGATACTTCCGGCCGATGGCTTCCAGAAGTCTGAGGAAGGGGTCCCTGCACCTGGTTCGGCCGTTGATGGAGTTCCACCAGTACCAAGTCAGGTGCGACGGTAGCAGAGTCTTGCTTGTCCCCTTGCCTCTTTTGAGGAGGTCTTGTTTTAGGGCAGTCCAGGCGGACTCGATCTTCTGGGTATGAGCGCCGGTTTCGAGGTCCACGAAGTTTTCGCTGTGGTTCACGGTGAGATGGTTGAGTACCATGTGCCCCAGTTCATCGTGAACTCTCCACAGGCCATCGTAGCCCTTCCACTTGTCCATGACTACAATGGTTCCCGGGTAGACGTTCCTAGCTACGATGGCGTGCAGGGTCCTCCGATTCCTTTTCTTCACTTCGAACAGGCGAAGCTCTCCCGTAGATTCTGAAATCAGGCCGACAATCCAAGGAGCCTTTTCCTCGGTCCCGCGGTAGTGGTCGCTGCTGCAACCAGGCACGTTGTCGCCCGCTGGAAGCCGTCCGCGGTTATACTTCCGCTTTCCCCGGAAGAGGGACTCGTCCACTTGGACGACCTGGCCGACCCC